ATTAGAAAGGCCCTTTATATCACTTTTTCTGATAAATTTAAACTATTTAATACTCTTGTTTATTTCTGAATACGCTATTGTTTTAAACTCTAATTATGGCTAAGAATGTATTATCGGAAACTTTAAATACTTTTTTGCTTATCTGTACCCATGATACAAACTATATACATATTTAAATCAGTTGTTTAAAAACAATCATTGTTATTCATATAATATTTCAATACCAATAATTCAAATCACAATTTCCTATGAATTAATCTCGAAAAGGATGATAATAACTTCAACTTAATGATATAATATCAAAGCTTAAAAAAATGAAAAGTTTTTATTTCCCTTATGATAGTCCAGTACATATAGTCAATCTAATGACATAAATAAAAAGCAAAAAACATTCAAAAAAATCCAAAACTTATAACAGCAAACTTATTAAATTTTCACATATAAGGTTCTTATTTTAGAAGAAAAAAGTATACTAATAAAATACAGTAAAATCTTAACATAAAAATTATTATTTCTTAGTATGAACTATTACACGTAATTAGTATAATATTTCTTTTTCAAAAAATTATATAAATACTCTTACTCTTTCTCACTAATTATTTTATCGCGTATATTATTAAAAAAAATTTCGTATCTTCATCTTCAGAATTAAGAATCATAGTTTTAAAAAAATAAACATAAGCCAATTCATCTGCATCATTATCATCAGAATCATCATAATAAAAAACAGCAAGCTGAAAAATACTATCAGCATAATTCATGTCTGCAAATTTTTAAAGGTACTCCAAAGCTTTATCTTCATCTTTATCAGTACCATCTCTATGTAAAAAGCAATATCCGACTTTATGAATGGCTGGGACAAGACCTAAATCTGCGAATTCTTTAAAGTAATAAAATGCTTCATCTTGTTTACACTCTTTTTCTTTTTGCAACCTTTTATCATATAATTCTTTTACCGATTTATAATTTCCAATAACCATATTTTCTACATCAAATTTTTTTTAGTTTGATTGTGATAATGATGAGACAAGAAAAAATATCATACATACGTGTTGAGAGTCAAACTTAATCTATCCAAGTTGAGGTTGTTTCTTAACACGTATAGCATGATATAAATATATCTTGCTCCATTGTTAGTCCATTACTGCTGCTCCCTTGATTATAAAGATAATTTTTGAAATAAGTTAATTCTGTAACCCCTACATTAGAACCAACTTTTAATATTATGTATTTAGACCTGAATAATTATACAAAGAATCATCCGAATAAGAAAATTTGAACGAGAAAAAATTATTGGTCGATAAATGCATTATTATAGTTATTTATTTTGTTCTGGATTGTTTTGGACTTTGCAATATTATGTACTATATCTTTAACCACATGTACAATCACTTAATTGTCATTGATCGCATGATTATAAAGTGATTTTTTTAATAAAAATTCAATGCTATAATTTATGATCGGTTCTACCACAAAAATCTCGACATACAAAAATCTTGAAAACTATAATCCAAACATAACACAGAGTAATAGTTAATATTTGTAATCACAATAACTTATTAAAATTTTAATTGTTACATTTTTGAGATTTTGGATGTCTGGATTTGTGGTAGAACCTTTATGATTTTCTTATCCGTATCCTCTATATTCTCAAAAACAACTTCACATAATCACGCAATCAAAGAATCAGGTGATTGTACTATATATGCGATTTGCAAATTTGATCAAAGATATATCATTTTGCAAACAACAATAAATAAATCTAAGAAACAATACCATCATGTGGTTGTTCCAAAGTAAGGTCAATTTAATATTTATGATTTGAAGAAATTATAATTAAAGGGAATGAAACAACTTGTCTTCTGCCAAGTAGAAATTCTGAACCTTATTATGGTGATATACAGACTAGAATTACATATATTTGGATTTATTCTCAGAAAGCTGATGCTGCAATCACTTATACGTACGAAGGACGCTCGTTATATCTCTTGATGTGTAAAATAAAATTACCAAATGCATCAAGTTGTAGTGTCTATAATAAGCTTATGATCGTTTGTGCATTTTAAATTATTTGATTGGTTAGATTTATTTAAGATTAGTTATGCACTATAAACAACTATACGTGTTTGGTTTTAGAATATATATATATATATTATATAAATTATATTATATATTATATTATATATTATATAAAACATGGACATAAGGATGTGCTAGTCTACTAGTATCTTCCTAAAATCAATTTTTAGTATAAATAAATATATATAATTTTTATAATATATATAATATATATAAATTAACTATTTTGAACTAATTTAAGTAATTTTATAAACTATTAAAATCAAAGTTAAGGTTAAATTACTTTTTATATATTATGAACTTATAAGAATTTATATATACATATCTATACTAAAGAAAAATCCTATATCTATCTATTTCTAAATGTGACAAATTATTTTTTGTATACAATACGTATCTTTTGAAACATAAAACGAAGCGTGCATTGTACAGTACTATAAGAAATTCTTTTTTTTGATATATTTTTATTTGTTATATAATATAATTCAATATCGATATTGTTGATAATTTAAATTTTATTATCTGAACTCATTTCATTCTCCTACGGTATCAAGATGCCATTGGAGAACGAACTGAGTTTAAGATGCTAACTTTAATGAATTGTATTAATTTAGCTCATAATTTAACAGATTTGGACCTGGCAATAGATATTAAATAAAATAATTTTTTGGACTTTTAATATTTATGTCGTGGACGACCATGAAATTTGATGATACCCCGAAATTTGTATCTATTTTATGTATGATTTTTAAATTTTTTAGAGCCTTTTTGTCAGCTTTTTTTTATGGTTAAGGTAGGATTTAAGGTTAGAGTTATTATTAATAAAAGCATATGGGTGAATTTTGGTGGAGCTTATTATTATATTTTCAAATCGAGACTCTTAAATTTCACCATCATTTGATATTCATTAGCCAATCATATTTAATGAAAATCATCTGAACAATACATTGTTACTATTGTTTTGGGAGAGCTTATAGAACTATTTGCACAATTTAACTCCAATAGTTAACTTTATATGTTCTTTGTGAGAACTCAAAGTAATATAATAATAAATAAAGTCGATTATAATAATAACTTAAGCATGTGAGTTTACGTAATTAATCCGAGATTGGGTACTTAATTATATCTTAATAAATCAAGTAAATAAATCAAGTTATGTAATCGTAATTAAATAAATCAGTAATATCGATAGACTAATCAATACAACCAATAATAAGGGTCAATATTTATAAGGTAATAAAGTAATAGGGTAATAATAAAATGTATAATACGATCGTGAAGAGCCTTTACGGTTAAGATAAAAGAAATAAAATATAAAATAAATACAACAATACTATGGTAACTCATATAACATCAATTCGAGAAATCAATTCTTAATACTCCTATATTAAAGACAATAAAATCTAAGCTTTATTTGAAGAGCGAAAAGACAGCTCTTTTATACTTTCAAATTACACTACTGAAGTCTAGCTCTATACTTTGTTATTCTAACATTATCTTTTCATCCAACTTTAGCCCATCCAGACCTATACCTTCTAAGCTGATTTTACTATTACATTCCTAAGCTTTTCCAGACCTAAACCCTGGGTCTCACAATAACAAACAAATAAAAAGAATCTATAGATATAGAATTAAACAAAAATGATGAATAATTATTTGTACAGATCTGAACTTCTAAGCCTTCGCCACAATCCAGCCTTACAGTATACACATTCTCATTACTACAAGTCACGATTTTTTTTTCTAAAAAAAAACCATGACATACCCCCTTGTTAGCTGTAAGCTCCTACAACTACTTAATCAAGGGCTAGTAATTGCTCAATCCCCTTTTGACTCCCTAATCGTGCTTCTTCCAGTAATACATTAAAATTTCTAATATTCATTTCTAATAAAATATTAGCAGATAAATGGCAAGTAGTCAGTAGATTATGGGCACCGCGTATGTAATAAAGACTATAAACATGACGGGTAATCCTCAATGCATTCTTATAACTTCGATAGGTAAATCGATCCTTCATTTCTTTTTTAACTTCTTCATCCCAATTATACATTGCTAATCTTTCTCCCAACTGATAGTAATGCTAGAGCAGAGTAGTACGATCTAACCGACAGAGTTGAATCCGAATACAAAGATAATCTATCTGTTGGTTCCAAACTTGTACCTTCAACCTTACAGAGTTCTTTTGCAGGGTCACCGATTCGGTGAAGATCTTTAATAAAGAGAGGCATACGAGTTTCTAACAAATTATCATTAATTTCTGATGCTAAATTAATAGGAACCTGGTCTCCTTGCCTATCAAGAAATTTAATAGTACTATCAGTAATACGAAGAGATTCTACAGAAGACTCTTTAATATACTTCTGAAGACGAAGGAGGAGTTTTAAAATAGATGCAGTTAGTAGACTCCTATGATGACAAATAATATCTTTGAACAGAAAAGCCACTACTGTTTCAGCATCAGCACATTTAATAGCATGCGGCTCAGGCTATCGAGTTAAGTATTCGGTCACTACAACTATATACCGATATTCTTTCGTAGTAACAGGAAGAGGTCCAACGATATCGATACCTATTCGATCAAAGGGTTGTCTAATTCGAATAGGGTGAAGAGGTTCTTTATTAACAGGATTTCTCTTTTTTGACACGAGTCACATAACTTAATATAATCCTAAATATTGTTTCCTATCTGTGGCCAAAAATATCAGTTAATAACTCGCTGGTACGTTGCCTCTTTATTGAAATGCCTAGCTAAGAGATCCGAATGCATTGCATATAATACGGGTTCAACTTCTTGTGGCTTCAATATTCGTAATGGTCTGAGAGGGTTCCAGGGGTTCTTCTTATATAACAATCCTTCCCGGGTGAGATAATGACATGTTTTATGCTTCAAAATTCTAATCTGGGCACTAGTATAACTAGAAGGTATTGTAGACTCGCTAAAGTACCTTAAAATAAGAAATATGTATCTAAATCCATAAAGTTTTGTTAATCAAAATTTGGATAATCCGAAATCGATATCGTCAAAGTTCAAATAGGAGTAAAAATAAAAAAATCGATTGTCTTAAATTTGTGAAAGACTATCGGTATTAAGATGTATTTTTCTAGATCTGTGGATGGTAGTAAATCTATACTCCTGCAAGGTCAGGATCTACCTGGCCAGTCGATTC